TACAGCTGGACCAGGTGGCACAGCGGGATCCCAACTCGGAAGGCTGTTTGATTACAAACCACTGGACGAGGCTCCCAGCTCTAAATACCATGCCATGCATCTTTCCCAAACTAAATGCCAGGACAAAGAGCCTGACAAACGGGCACAGAGACGGAACTAGGCTTCTCTTCGAACTTGGGTAAAAACGGCCAGGTCCCTGGGCCTTGGCTCTTGCAACAAGCTTCTCCCCCACCGCCCCACCCCCCAGGCCTGGCTCCTATAGGAACGTATCCAGGAGAACAGGAGAGGGGCAGCAGCCACCGGGTGGCACTGCCTGTTTCCCTCTCCGCCTCCACCATGCGTGGCCCTCACCTCTCATCCCTGCTCCCTCTTCTCCACCCTCCACAGGAAAAACAGGACCAGAACACGAAGAAGAAAAATAAGAGAGAAGACCGGCCACTGGTCACAGCCACCAACTCATGCATGCAGCAAGCACAAAGCTCATCGCAAACCGGGAGGAATCAACCTGATGGAGGCCTCGCCACCGCAGGGGGAGCCCAGCCCCGGCTTTCCTTCCCACCCCCGAGTCTGAGTCAGCTACACACCTGCTGTTTCCTTCTCCACCCATTACCAGAATCCACACAGTGGACGGAAGCTGCCTGTCCACTCATCAGAGAGCGGGTTCTCCTGGTCCAGCTCCTGGTGGGAGAGCTACTTTCCCAGGAAGACTGGGGGAAGAAAGACATTTCTATCCCCATTTTACAGACAGCCAAACTGAGGCCCAGAAGAAGGAATCTGGAATCCACAAACTTGATCGCTGGGCCACTGGCTACCAGGACCTGGAAGCCAAACTGGAAACATGCTTCAGCTGGAACATTCTGCTCAGCCAGTCTCAGACATCAACTCAGGGGTTAAATGCGTCAAAATGTGTAAGGCATGCTGGAGGCCCCTGCAGATGTAAATAATTATGCAGAGAAGGGAAGTGGGTGACCAGGGCCCAGCCGACGGCTCTCCTGAAAGTCACCATCACACAAGGGCGGTGAGTCTGAAATTCCTGCATCTTCAGATCTGTATCGCGGACGGATCCGGGCTTTCAGAGGAATTTAAACCAGGTCCAGACTGTGGTCATACTAATGGCGAACGGGAGGACTCCCTCTCAAATGTGGCTGCACAGGGGGACTAAGAATGGGCGTCTCCTGCGACGGCATGACCTATCTGTCCCTCAACTCTCTCACCTGCAAAATGGTGACTCTGACAGGAGCAGCAGTTCTGGAACCATCTGCCTGGGTCAACCCTGGCTCTGTCCCTGAGTGGCTGCTCGACCCCAGCAGCCCACTGCTCTGTCCTCACGTGGGGAATGGAGATAATAACAGTATCCACCCTCCAGAGCTGCTGTGATGTTCTATGCGTAATAGATAAAAAGCACCAAGAAGGGGCTGGCACTGCGTGAGGCCTCAGCAAACGCTGGCAGCCAGCTCTGATGCCATCACAGAGGATGCCTGACCCCACGGAGGGGCAGCAGAGGAAGAGGGCATCTTGGGCTCAAGCCGAGGAGTCCCCCCGCCCGGCACTTGGTGGGAGGTGCCCGAGGCCAGGCAGCACAATCCGTATAACTCACTCCTGATTCTTCTCCAGCCCAACGGAGCAGCTGCTCCAGGAAGAAATAAAATATGCTCTGCATACTTTAAATGTTTCACTTACGAAAACTGGCAGGGCCGCCTTTCTAAATTGTTTAGCAATAAAGTCAGAAACGAGCACCGTTCGAGGCTCCCACCGCTGGAGCCTGGATCAGGGAGCTGGCCAGGGGTGGGGAAGGAGGGCAGGCTGGCCGCCAGTGCGGAGCCTGCTGGGGCTTCCAGAAGGCGCCATCTGGGATTTTTCAGAGGGGCACTGGGATCACATCCTGGTGTCCTGTTGTGAAACTGGATCCTCCCTCTGGAAGCCAGGCCCCAAGCGCACGGGGCAGAGAGGAGGGCCCTTCCGGCCTGGGATGTTTTCCCACACTCCAAGGGCGCCCAGGTTTCCAGCCAATCGAGTTAATTGAAAAATTACCTTGGGCTGAGAAAGAGCAGACCCGGCCACGGGAGGCTGGTTCACACAAAACCCTCCTGGGTCCCCAGTGTGACCGGACTTAAACACTCTGCAGCTGGAAGGCCTGGAGCTGTGCTCGGCATTCCAGGGACTGTGTGCTTGGCAGACATCCTTGCAGCCTCCCAGCAACCTCGGAGGGTGGTATTCCTGCTCTACAGATGAGGAGACCACGGGCCTGCCCAAGGGCCACACCTGGGAAGTCGTGGTTTACGGTCCCTCGGCACTGCCTGGCTCCCCCATCAATACTTCTTCCCAGATGCTGTTCTGTGATGGGCCACAGGGACCCCCAGTCCCAAGTCCTAATGAACATAACTCAGAAGGAAGCAAGGCTGGCCAGGGGCCTTCTGCAGAGCCTGGAACAAGATGGCACTTTCTACGCAGAAGGCTGCACTTCGGCCCAATTTTGCTAAGCTGAATATAGTGCTTTTAACTTTTTCTTCAAAGTGCTCTCATTTCTATTATGTTTACCGTCCTAGCCCCCTGGGAAGATTACAATGGTGGGTTCTATTGTCCTCACTAAGGGCAGTCAACCCAAGGCCCAAGGAATAGCTCCTCCACTCAGCCAGCTCATCCAGAGAGTCTGGGGTACAGGAGGCCTGGGCCTAGTCCCCCTACTCTAGTGCTCCCCCAACCTCCTCCCACCCCACCCATGCAGAGTCCTGGGTACAGCTCTGCCTCTCTGGGCTGTTCCATCCATTCCTGTCCTCCTAGGCCCCTAGTCTGTTTAAAGGGTTGGGGGGGACCCACAATTCCAGAGAGCTCCATTCTATCTCTAGAGGCCTTTGCAGTCACAGAGTCTGAGACTTCAAAGTAGGAGACCAGTGGAGGCCCCCCAAACCATGTCCCTCCTTCCATCAGGCTACAACCTTCAGGACTAAAAATGAACAAAATCAATCAGAAAACCACCCTTATTTCACGAGGGGAGTTTCAGCAGTGTGGTCTATGAACCAAACGTATAATCAAGACACAGAAAAACGTGGAGTATTTTTTTTAGGGAGGAGGAGCGGTGGGATGAGGACAAACTCGAGGCCCTGAGTCACTGCTATGTCTGTGGACAGAACTTCTCCCCCACAGGAAAATGCAACCCTAACACAGAAGCTGCATATCCAACTTTCGATTCTGACAAATACAGTCGTGCGTCACATAACGACGGGGATATGTTCTGAGAAACGTGTTGTTAGGCGATTTCATTGTTTTGTGAACATCAGAGAGTGTGCTTACACAGACCTACATGGTACAGCCTGCTACATGCCTCGGCTTTGTGGCATTCATCTTATGGGACCATCGTCATCTCTGTGGTCCGTTGTTCACTGAAACGTCATTATGCGGCCCATGACTGTACTCACAGAGCACCTCGGCTGAGAGGCAGTGTGGTCTAAGTGGCTAGAAAAGCTGCAGGGGCCAGGCGGTCTGCGTTTGAGTCCTGGCCACTTACTAACCTCTCTGCGCCTCAGTTTCCTCATCTGTAAACTGGGGCAATAACAGTACCTATCTTACAGGGTTGTTGTGACGGTTAAATGAGTGACTATACACGCACAGTGACTACACCTAGAAGAACAGTGCTGGGCACACACTGGTTCTTTCCTTCCCTCTCCTGGGAGCCACTGCCTCCAGGTTCTGAGACGAGCTCCTGCCTGCAGCCTTGTCCCTAGGTCCCCAGGAGCTTCTCCTGGAAACTCCTGACCCAAACCCCCCGGTAGAACATTCTTTGCTGAGAGGTCTCCAGAGTGGGGCTGGCTGCCGAGGAAGTGGCCCTGTGATCCTAATCTGGAGGCCTGGGCATGGGAGGGAGGCCCCCCTCTATTTTGCCACCCACCCCCTCACTTTCTCCAGTTTATAGACTAAAAAAAGAAGAAACATAACGTGAATTCCTGCTTTGAGCTGCCGCCAACTTGCCACCAAGCGTCTCCCGTCCGTCTGGCCCACTCCACCAACATTTCACAAAGGTCAAATGCTTACTCCACTCCGCATGCTGCCTCTTGAGAGAGCAGAGGAGAAAACTATTTGAAAAATGTAAATTGAAAAAACCCCATGGCTCTCCGCCTTCCACCCCCTTCCCCACACACTCATGCACGTGCTCACACACGCATGCGCAGCTCACACCCAGTAAGACAGAACACACGACCACGTCCCAGCACCTCGGTCTTAAAAACAAGCAGGAGGACAGGCTATTTTCCTTGGAGGAATACAAATGACCCTGCCAACCCAGACAACGAAATCGCTTGTATAGAACAGCATCCTTTCAAAAGGTCTTTCTGGAGCATCTCCTGACAGGAGCCATGTATTATGTGCCCCAGCCCCTAGCACAGCCCTGATCCACAAGCTAAGCCCAAGAAGTGTCCGCTGAGCTGAAGCCAGTCCAGGGCACAGCTCAGGGCGAGGGACGCCTCAGATTAGGCCGAAGCCTGCAAGGGCTGTGCTCTCCTGGCCAGAGGTGACTTCAAGACCAAACATGCTTTTCCTTGAAGCCTCTCTCTTCCACCCACCCTCCCTCCCCAGGAGAAAATGACACCCCCTAAAGAAAAGCAGGTTCTAGGTTTGGCTGCTGCAGAAGCCAAGGGTCCAGCTTGAGTAAAGGAACGAATGGAAGCAAGAGCCGACACTGGACGTGAGTGGTTTAGAGCAGGTCAAAGGCCTTTTGTTGATCTCTAGATTTTTTTTCTCATAAGTCAGCCTCCTCTTGCCCTACTCTCTTGAGCTGAACTTCTAGATCTTTCTTCTCTCTTCTCCCCACTCCACAAACTTCAAACCTGGAACATCTGGGCCTTAAGCTGGGCACCTCTTTCCTGACACATCTGAAATAGTATGGATCACCCGTGGCCTCCTGAGGGCAAGGAGAATAGACATGTGTAACCGTGGCGTACAGACGGGCGGGGTGGGGCATGTAAAACAAAACACACACACACAGCCGTTTGTGGACGCTTAACAACTGCTTCCACGGTTGAGCAAAGCAGCAGAAAATCAGCCAATGGAAGGAGTAAGTATCCTAACCAGGAGCAGGTGTTGCATTGTAAGTCGACTCGTAACAAGAAAAAGCCCTATGTCCCTCTGGAACTGCAGGCTGATCACCAGCCAGGCCAGTGAGGTCACTCCATCTCCAGTCCAGTGGTGGACGGCACAGAGCTGCAGACATTCCAGGAATCCAAAAAAAAAAAAAAAACACCCGATGCAAGCTCTGGTTGTCAGCCATGAGGCCCTGGACAATGAAGCCCACGCCCAGGAGGCCGGGGATAAGGGGACAGCAGCCCTGTGGTCCTTCTCCAGGTGAGCAGACAGCATGTGTTTCAGCAAAGAACACGGGCAGGGCCAGAGAGTTTTCAGCTAAAATCCTTTCAGTAATCATGAAAATTAACCCAGGATAACCCTGCTGCCCAGGAAATTGTTCCTGCTCCTGATTGCTGGAGAAAGCTATAAATCTCCTTCCAAATTAGCATTTTCTCTGCATGCACACCTGCAGAAAGCTTATTTTGGGGAAGTGAGGAAAAACAACCAGACCCCCAACCCAAGCTGGCCTGGCCTGGAAGGCAGGCAGCTGACTCGAGTTAAACATTTCCAGGCAGAGAAATTCAATCTGCTTTTTCAACCGGTCGGCATCTAACGTATTATTTTTCTCTCCACCTTTGCCCTCCTCTTTTCGTAAATCTTGGCTGCATGCAAATGTTCACAGGACCCTCTTGCCAGGACCCGAGTGCTGTTTATCTGGCTATGGAGGCTGCTTTTGGGCCCCAAAAGAAGTATATGACCTTGTCACTGAATGTCTTGGGGTTTGTTTTGACCTAAGCTGTCAGCGTGGGGGTGGGTGGTGCAGGGTGGGCTGCAAAAAAAGGGAAAATGGCATCCTAACTCCACAGCCCTGGCTGGCCCAGGCTTTGCTGCCACCCCACCTATCCTAAACGCATTCCATGGAGTCCTAGCTCCCTCTCTCCCTGTCTGCTCCCAGGGGGGCCGCCTGTGTCTTCTGAGGACTGCCGAGTCCTCTTAAACAAACATCAGGAGAGCCAGGAACACACAGTTCAGTGTGGGGAAGATTCTCCTCGTGGATGTGCAAGGGGGGATTCTGGCTCCACTAGCTCTCCTCGACCCTCACAAAGGGCTCCCAGTGGGGCAAGAGATCTAAGTCTGGTCAGCTGGGCGGACCAGGCACGAAGTCCTGTCCCCCCACCCCCAGCACAATGTGCTCTGGCCCGGCGGGGAGGAAGGTGTGTGGGTTCATGTGCCACCGTGGCTGGCCTCTCATGTCACAGGGGTCATCATGTCAAGGACACAGATTTAGTGTGTAAGATCCTCAAATGGGAGGACATGGGCCGACACACGGATGTTACAATAAAATCGACTTTTGGCTCAATACAAAGATGAGTGAATGCTTAAAACGAATCAAGATCGTAGGGGCTGCCTGGAGAGGAAGCGAGTTTCCAATTCCCAAGGCATTCAAGCTCAAGACGAACACCTGTGCTGGACATTAGGAGTCAATTTGTCTCCCTTGCCCCAAATTCCCAAGTTAACTACTTTCCCACAGCCCCTGGAAGGAAGCAGCTCCTCACACCAGGTGCCCTCACAGATGCAGCTGATTGGACCAGGACAGTCACATGATCCAGGGCCTGCCAAACCATTGGTTAGGCAGGGACCAATCAGATTCTCTGTCTCCCAGACTTTTAAGAGATTGAAGGGTTATGCACGAGCCGGGCCAGAGGACGCTGGTTGAGGAGGAAAGCAGGGGAGGCAGCTGGGGAGCATCCTGGGATGGAAACAGGAGGGGGGCGGGATGGGAGAGAGGGCATTTGTGTCCGGACCCCACGTGGCTGGCCTTCGACTTCCTGAGGTTGCCTGTCGTGTCCCTACAACAAGCCCTCCTTGCACCTGAGCTCCTTCAAGTAAGCACCTGCTTCTCATGCCTGAACTGCTGGAGCTCCCCTGGCTGGGAACACTGCAGAGGGAGGCAGGGCCTTCCTGGGGGATGGCTGGGCCACGTGAAGTCTCGGCCACCGCCAAGGGAACCAGGCATTCCTGAGGCCGTGAAGGGGACCAGGCCTAGGACGTCCCCAAGGCCCACTCACACTCCCTCTGACCCTGCGATTCACGCAGGGCCCGCACTCCTTCACACATACCTCCCGTCATCATCCCTCAGCACATGGACCCTGACCCTACGCCGCGGAGAACAAGGCTAAGGGCTCAGTCACGGCCCAGCCTCGCAATATCCCAACAGGAAGAAGAGCGCCCCGGGGGGACACACACCTCACCCTATGGAAAGGCACCTCCCGCACTGCCACACCAACTCAGACCCCAGGCTGTTAAACATCATTTTATTACTTGCGATCAATTTAAGGTGGCTTATTAATAAAGCAGCAGCTCCACTTATTAAGTACCTACTGTATACCAGGCCCTGCAGGGTGGGTTCCAGCATTTTCATTTCACAAGATGAGGAAACTGAGGCTCAGAAAGATTAGGCAGCTTCCCCAAGGGCCCCCGGGGGGCTTCCCACAGCTCCTAGGTCTCTGACAAGCTGCTGCCAGACGCCTGCCTCTCGGAGGGAGCGCAAAGCCCTGGCAGATACTGTCCCTAAAAATTTCTCCCCAAGGCCTCACCCTGCCCCAGGGCCTGTCTCCTACTGATCACTGACCCTGGACTTGTCTGACTTGGGCACCTCTCTGGCGAGCCTTGAATCACTCCAGCACCCATTTTGGGATAAAACTAATAGAAATGGTGTTTACTGAGCACCTACTATGTGTCAAGGACGGTGCTAGGCACTGTGCATAGATCATCTCATTTAATCTCCACAAAACTCCCACTAGGTAGGGATAGCAGCCCAATTTACAGATGAAGAAACTGAGGCCCAGAGGGGTTAAATAGCTTGGAATGATCTGCACCCAGGCAGTCTGGCTCTACAGCCCTGAGCACCTGGTACACGGTCTCCAATGTCCCCACATTCAGAGCCCTGGATCCGGGTACCTGTCTTAGTGTGGGAGCTCACTCTCCTCCACGGGGCTGATGCCAAATGAAATGGGGGGCCAGCCCCTATGCCCTAAACAACTCCAGGCACAGAGGCAAGCCAATCATGCATGCCCTTTCGCTAAATTCTTGCCTTCCGGGGCTGCCCACGCCCTGCCCTGCTGTGTGAAGGCAGCATCTGACTGCTGGGTGTGGATTCAGGGCATCTCTAAGGGGAATCAGTCGGTGCTTTCCAGGGAGATGGCCAAGCTCCAGATGCAGCCCGGAAAATCTGACTCCCGCCGGGAAGGGTGAGAGAAGCCAGATGCCGTCTGGAGTGCCCAGAGCGCCAGCTGGGGCCACGACCTCGGGGTGCTCAGCAGTATCCGGGATGTGGTGGGAGGCTGGCAATGGGGACACGACAGCATGCGCTTATGCCGGCCCACAAGGGAGCAGGCACACTGGGGTGGGGGGACTCAAATCAACCCCCCCAGACCCCATATTCAGGAAGCCAGCAGATCCAGGGGTCCTCCTGCAAGCCTCCCTCGGATAGGTGTGACAAAAGAAGCATAAACAGAGGGAGGGAGGGAGAGAAAAAGGGACGTGATGACTTATGACCAGAAGACGGCAAAGGGACTTGAGAGGTGGCAACTGTCTACTGGATCTTGAAGACAGAGAAGGGAAAGGGGACAAAGAATGAACAATTAATAGAAGAGAAAACTGAGCTCCTCTGCAGGTTCTAGAACAGGGCCTGGCCCACTGTAGGAGCTCAAGAAAACCTGCAAAGTAATTAACCAACAGGGTCGACATCTAAAGCTTTTCTTTGAATCCCACAACACCTAGCTAGGGGCACAAACACGCGCTTGCTGAGGGCATCATCTTACATTCTGCAGGCGCACAGCTCCTGCGCCTGCCTCCCAGCTTCCATCCCCAGGGATGAACATTCTCCCTGGCTTTCCTTTGGCTAACACCCCACTCTCAGTCTGCGTGTTTTACTGGGGGCTCACAAGCTCTACCCCAACCTTTTCCAGGGAAGGGCACATGACCTGGACCAGGCGAGGCAGTGCATTCCATGCTGCTGGACCAAGTGACTGGCTCAGAGCTGTCACATGATGAAAGCTAAGCCAATGAGAGTCAGTCCTGGGATTTCTGCTGGAAATACTGGGAATGAAAGACTCTCTATACTGGAATCCTAGAAAGGTAAATGTTGCTTAGACTTGTTAGGGGTCTTTTTTGGTGCCAGAAAGGATAAAGCCCAAAGAAACAGATAAAAGGAGAATTGGGAGATGACATCATTTGAAGCCCTCGATGCAGCTATGCCTGAGGCTAGACCTACCTCTGATCATTTCAGTTACACGGAGCTACTGATTTCCCTTTTCGTGAGTCAGTTCCAGCTGTGTTTCTATCACTTGCAACTCAAACAGTCCTGCAACTACACGACTCTCTGGGCAGGTGGTGGGAAAGTGGGAAGTATAAACAATACAAAGTCAGCTTTTTCATTAACAAACTGTTATTGAACACTAAGCACGGACCTCTCTGAGCCTCGGATGCCACGCTGAATGATGGTGATCACGTCTCCCAACTTCACAGGGTCAACAGGCGAGTTGCTGCACCCTCCCGTGATCTCTGTTATCTTTAACACGTTAAGGCCAAGAACAGCAGGAATCCCACAGCCCTGGGAGAGACCCTGCTGTCAGGGACGCCTGTGCGGAGCTCACCCACACCCGAGCCTCTGGCTGGAGCCTGCAGAGCTGCCCCACGACCCCTCCCACTTGCCAAGGGCCCAGCCCAGGGAGGCAGCCACAAGGAGCTCCCCACCATGTCTGGGGTCTGGACAGAGCGGTGTGCCTGGCACCTCCGAGGGACAGGGTCACTTTGTTACTCCTCACTTCAGACTCTGCTGTGCCACAGTTGAGGACGGACACAAGTGATGTGGCAGAGTCGACCACAGTGGGGACAGGGAGTGGTGGCTACCACAGGCTCCAGCCAGACCTCAGCTGGACTCTTGGGCTGAATCTTCCCTCTTCTGCTTCCTGGCTCTATGGCCTGGGGCAAGTTTCTTAACCTCCCCGTGCCTCAGTTACTTCATCTGTGAAATGGGGTGATTAATGTACCTCATTTATCCGGGTTGTGTAATGCAGGCCACCCTGCAAGGCACGAGTCCTCAGATCAGGTTCCCCTGCACCATTTTCGCCTGAGTGCACATGATGACGTCAGGCCTTACAGGGAGTGTGTAAGGTCACATGGGGGACGGAGGAGAGTGAGAGTCCCTAAGCGCATAACTACTCAGAACACCGGTTCATCCGCCTGGCAGACGGCAAGTTTCTGGAAAGGGCCCAGTGAACAGGAGGCGCAGCAGCATGCCAGAAACCAAGCTCGCTGCCCGTGGATGGGACCAGCAAGCCAGCCAGGAGCAGGAAGTCGGAGCTGGCTTGGGACAGCAAGAGGGCAGGGCTCTGCCCCGGAGGTCAGACAGAGGCCCGGTCACCTTGGAGAGGTGGTCACACAGGGCCCCAGGGCCCCTGGGGAAGTCCCCAATGCCTACCCCGCATGCAGAGAGGGGAGGGGGCTGCTGGTCATTTCAGACATCCGGGCAGCTGCCCAAACACACAATCAAACCTCCTTGAACCAGGTCCGAGCTAGCTGCTACAGGGCCCAGGTAAT